CACTGCCAATACTGTTGTACGTAATTGCACTCATTGGGTCTCGTCTTTGTAGAAGTGAGGTATATCCCATTATTCTTCGTTCACTTTCTTTCCCTTTCTCGGACCCAAATATTATAGAGGAAAAAGAGGATATCTTCTTACTTTCTGAATTTTTCTGCAGTGAGATTTTTTTAAGTAAATAGACCTTGGGGCTATTGTTCATAAACAAAGACTCCATCATTGCCCAAGCCTCTTGTACGAAGCTACGAAACAAAAAATTTGTATTATGTTAACGAAAAAAAATACACAATAAACATGTTACAGGTTATTTCATTTCACTACCAAGAAAGAGTGCCAACAGTGGCATGAGTAATTAAAGTATTTTAATTTAATGGGTTTCTATTTTCTGACATGATGTGTTTGTTGGTCTTTGATTGCTGTCACTCTGTCACCTACCAAGAGGCATTAGGGGAAACTTTGTGATTTGGAGCTGGAAAATGAATTGTCTAATTAAGTTACATAATGACGATAGAATTACTATTAAAATTTACCCCAGTACGAAATAAAATTTCCTTTCTTGTTTCATGTTTAGTTTGGACTGCCATAAGTAAGTCCATATCTAGTTAAATTTGACTACAAAACATCACTTAACCGCGCACATAATATCTCATTATTTTATGTTTATCACAATCAAACGGCTACTTGTTGAAGTCTTAAAAAGAAATACCCTTTTTTTAATACACCAAGCCATTGGATTTGTGAGACTATTAACGGGTCGAAATTCAATAAGGATCAATAACTGTCAGCATAAAGTTGTTTGCATATGAGTGCTCCCGGGGGGAGCAATAATACTTAGACTTGAGATCCTATTTAGGATATGTTAGATGCCATTGCCGCTCAATCAAACCATCCTCTAAAGTCCAAAGTTAGGATCAGAAAAGCTTATGTGCCAATTTTAAATTTTAAATAAAGTCCTAATTTGTGACTTTGTGAAAGTAAAATGTAACTGCCCCTTTAAAAGTTCATAACCCCCATGTTCATACTCTTGTCATTATCTTGGCCCAAACATTGGATGCCCCTTTTAATGGGGAAAATTGTGTCAGTATATATTAATAATCACTATTTATGTGCCCTAGCCAGAAGGAAGCTAGTTTTGTGACATTTTAAGGTCTGTACTATTATTTTAGTATCCCTCGAATAGAGTTAACAGATTGAGAGCATCATTTTAGTGCTTTGTCGTTTTGTTAAATTCCAAACCATGGATGCTTCCTCTGACCTGCGACCCCAAAGGAAAAGGCATAGCCCCTTCACCGATTGAGCTGGCAGACGCAGTCGTTTCATTTGCAGGTAAAAATTGGGGTGGGACAGCTGTTTATTCTTTGTAAGGGAGCAAGTCATAAAAATTGGAATTAAGAGAAGACTCAAGATAAAAAGTAAATAGATAATAAAAAAGAATTATTGAGAGTAAGTAGGAGCATGATGTAGATTGTTGACTTTTGAGATAACAGTAATTAAGAGTGCGCAATGGTCACAAATGGTAAGACAGAGAGTCAACAGACAACGATTATTTCCGTCAATGCTTATCATAGACTTAATCCATCCCTATTTCATCGTATGGATTTGAAAAAAAATAAAATTGATGTACTACGTAAAAATGTTTATCTTTTAGTCTTACCCTCGATTTACTGTTACATCATTTTTAATCATAATTACTTCTATTTAACGCGTTTTATCCCGTAAAGGCGTTACTTAAAAATAAGTATTTATTAATTATACTTTAAATTTGGAACAAGATGTGTGTTCAGAGATAATATAAAAATTCAAATAGAAACACAGGATGTGTCTTCTTCTATATTTTGTGTGACCTCAATATTTATTCTTATTTTGAATATTTGTTGAGATTTTCTTTTTACGCCCTTTCATAATCATGGTCATAATCGGGGGGCCTCATCATATTTTGTTTGAACGTGGTGTTATTTATGAGGGAATATGGAAAGAGACATGAAAAATTAAAGGAGATACTTATAGTGAGTGGCCTACTCCGCGGTACATTGATTACTACATTTATGCTTTTTGAATTTTCAAGGGGTCCAATACACCAAAGTATCATAACCATTGGCTCTTCGACCTGCGGTTTTATAAAAGTCTTTTCTTATCTTCTTTACATTTCTTTTTTTTTGTGGAGAATAACATGCAATGAATCCAAGAAGACGAGGTGGTTGGGCGGGCACACTGCACTTCATGGTACAAATGGCAAGGGCCACTTTCTTCTGCCCTATCATTTTTCTATGTTCTTTTATTTATTTTTAACACAGTTCTGTTCGAGACACTTCGAACATTAAATATTACTTCCTCCGTTTTTTATTATAAGAGATGAAGAATCAAATTATATTGATAAAAAAACAGTTAAAATTAGTTAAGAACAATCAATGTGTAAAAAGTATAATTTTTTTCTAAAAATGCCCTCATTAATAAGGAGAGAGAGCATGAGAGAAAACAATTAAATTATTAAAAAAAAGAGAAGTGGGAGAGAGAGAGTGTGTGAGTTAGAGACAATAAATATGGGTAAAATAGGAAATCAACATAAAAAAGTAGAGACAACTTTTAATTGTCTCTTATATATATGAACATGTCATAAGTATCAAATGTCTATAATAAGGAACAGAAGGAGTAGCATATTTTCTAACAGAAATTTAAATATTAATTTGTTATATTATAAACAACTAGTTTTTTCTACTAAACTAAACTGACATTGGTGATTTTTCTGTTATACTGTTTCCTTTGACCTTCCAAATAATCAATAGTGACCTCATCTAGGTGAGTTGGGTAGGCTTTTATTTTTTGATTGAAGTTATCTAAGACTCAATCAGGTAATTCTTTGAAGAAGAAAAAATAGTGCCAACATTTAGTGTTTCACGCTATCTTAAATAGCATGATGTTCAATAAAAGAATACATATACTTCAGGGAAAATAAGATGATTTTCATTTCTCTGTTAACATTGGATATTTTATAATTATCATTCAATACAAATTACTCCTCCGGTCCTAATTATAAGACCCAATTGACTTATTTGAGGAGATTAAGGAAATAAGTTAAGTTGGTTATTTATAATAAATAAGTGTTGTCATTCTTAAAATATCCTTACTAATTAAGTATATTGGCTAAAACTATCATTATTAGAAGGATTATTTTGGAAAAAAATGCATAAATATAAGAAACAAAATGGATTGGGTCTTATAATTAGGACCAAATAAAAAGTCAAATTGGGTCTTATAATAAGGACCGGAGGAGTAGATTTTTTTCCATGTCGTCGTTGTTATTTTGTGAACAGATTGTCTCATTATTGAGGATAATCCAATTTGACTTTGTAAATTCTCAACATGCCTTGTGCCGAAATAAACAAAAATGTCATGAGATAGAGCTGATAATACGGACTGGTGGTACAGATACAGACCAGCCTGCAAGAGAGCGGGCTAGACCTGCCAAAGCCTACTCTTTTTTTTTTTTGGTTGAAAAATATGTTGTTACAAAATTAAAGCAAGAAGCTAAGGACTAAAATGATATTCAAGCATAAGTTAATAATTCTTCAGCAATTTAACATCATTAATCATTATAAAATAGTGAAATACATTATTCAAAACTGTAAAAAAAAAAAAACTTTAGGAAAGGACAAGCTAAAAATTTAATCTAATAAATGGGTGTAGTTATAGACATACAAGTTGAAGAGGATTCTGAATGGGGGTAGTTATTTTTGTTATCGCTTCAAAACTGTAAAATTTTGCATCTCAATCGTAAACATATATTAATTTGCTCAGATATTAACAAAATTATAAACTAACGTCTGGAAGGCAGAAGATATATGAGATAAAGAAGAAAGATATGATGTTGATTATTGATATGCACACAAATTGTTATTGCCAGGGGTAAAGATATGATGCTGCTGGGCAAGAGTTTTATTTTTTTATTTTTTAAATTTCATGATTAAAATTTCTTTATTTTAGTTTTAAAAAATCATTTATTACTTTTTAGACAAAAAAAAACTCTTATTATTGGTATGGGCTGGGTTTTAAAATTTGAAATGTTAAAATTAAAATCAGAGTCTTGGACTTGAATAGTTGATTGTAACAAGATATCAAAGAGATTGGTTTTTGAAAACGAAAAAATAAAACAACAGGTTAGCCCACGGCAAAGAGGGTTCAAAACGGTGTGGACTGAAATAGTCCACATCTTGACGGGTTGGCAACGCATCATTTTTCGCGGGCTGACTGGCTAGGCCCAGATTGCCGACTCTACCACAAGGTCTCAACGTGTCTCGGGGAAGAATTAATTGGGCCCATACAGAAACAAAATTTTGTGGCCTCCATTTTTAGGATGCCCAGTTCAATCGTATCACTGCTCCAAAAAGCCTTATCGTATTCAAACAAACTTAGCTCCCGAACATAATTTTTTTAATAAGAATAAAAAATTTAGCAATGGCGATTTTTTCTTATTACGTACAAAATCACATTAAAAGAGAATTTAATTTCAGTCCGAGCGCAAATAGGAAATTGGGACCCTTTTTTTTAACTTAGGGACAGTCCAGTATATGTATGTTTTTGTTTAATAAAAAGTTACGCTAATAAAAAATGTTTGATTTAATTTATTTTCAGTAATTAAATATTTGAGAAGACCTTGCTCGTAAAATTCAAAAGTACCTTTTCTCATAGTCTTCAAATACCCAGTACCCACTAGCCATATAAAATCAAACTATTCCTAAATTATTTTGTTTTTTTTTAATTCAATGTAGTAAAGCATTTTGGTCAAAAAAAATTCAATGTAAAGAACATGCTTAAAAAAATTATTCTAATGGTAGTTTAAGAATATAAAATATAAATGTCTTTTTTGACCAAAATATAAATTTAAAGTACTCTACAAAAAATAAAATGAGCATTACTTCACGGACAAACTTCAAGCCCATCACCCCCAGATACCCAATATTTATTGGGACGAGGCTGGTACTAAAAATACGGAGGCAAAATTCAAAAGGATTGCCAAAAGTTGAGACCTTTTTTAGTTGTTTTGGCGGTTTAGGGCAGCCAGCAGAGGCAAAGGGGTACATCGGCGAGATACACGATGGCGGAAGACGACTACAATGACATGGATAGGGGATGCTCTGTGCTCTTTCTTCGTCATCTATTCTTCTACCTTACATAGACATGCATAAAATAATGGTTTTCGCTTTCCAATTCAATTTACATACTTGAATATACTTCTCTAGAATTTTACATAACACAGTACATTTCCTTGAGTTGAAGTTAACACCTTTTGCTAACTTTGAGATCCTATTTTCTTTCGGTTTGTAAAGACTGAAACTTTTTTCGACTATCTTCCCATGGTTATGTACATTCATCTTATGCCTCTGCATTGCTAGCTCTATATATAGCTGTCTTATACTGTTTCATTATTATACATGTTTCGATTGTCAAAAAATTAGTATGCATGTTTCATTGAAAGTGGGTGCTGATGCAGACATGAAGATGAACCACCAGAGCCTGAGATTGAAGTAAGGGAATTCTGTCTCTTATGCCTTTTTGTCCCCGCATATTTTTGGAACTTTATTATTGAATAACGAGTTAAGGAACAAAATTAATCGAAAGATTTTTTTGGTGCAAATTTGACCGTAATTTAAAATGGTAATAGTAACGGTAAATATTACTATTATAATAGTCAACATTGTTAAGATTTTGAACTTGTAAAGCAGATTTGTATCCCAAAAAAAAACTTGAGTGGCCAGCGCTGCTCAAAACTTCCGGTATTGAATTCACTGGTGAATTAACTGGTGAACAGGAAGTTGCAGAGGAGGATGTGGAGAACAATAATAACGATGACATAGCTGGAGAGCCTCTTGAAACTGAGGATAGGGAAAAACAAGAACATGTAGAGCGGCCGAGGAAGACATCCAAATATATGACAAAATATGAGCCTGCCCGAATTTTATGCACCCTGCTCTATAAATCAGGTCCGTTGTTTTAAGTTCGTTAACTCAAGATTCTGTCGATCATATCTTTGTCAAAGCATGTCTTGTTTTTCTGTGGTTGAGCAGCCTGAGTGCACCTGTCATGGTTGAATTGGAGAGTAAGAAGGAGGCCGACCCTCTTGAGGTAATTCCGCGGTGCCACATTTAGTAGATTATTTCTTCTGCATATTCTGAAATTTTTGTTTCCTTTCAATTTCTGCATTTCGGCATGCCATGAATATCCACTGGGAAGTTTTCCCCTCTAAACTTGTGATCTCAAAATCAAGCTTCCAGTCCTTTTTCAGATTGGCCTGGTGCCTTTCATTTGAAATGTGGGAAAGTAGTCTCTAGGCTTGTCTTGAATTCACATCCTCATTGGGCATTGTGATTCTTTTATTGCACGCTCCTCTTTAAGAGCCTGATTTTGATCATTATACGCAATGCTTTCCATCCTAGCAATATAAATTGTCCCATATCAGCCTTGAATTGTAGAAATCTGATACCCCTCAATTTTAAGGATCGCCTCTGGAATTCAATAGCTCTGAATTATTGTTTTATTCCAACTTTAGCTTGACTGGATATTATACTATCTATTCCATCCTTGTAGTATAAAATGATCTATGTCCGTTTTCGAATTCTGGAAATTTATGTTTACCTTGTCACTTGTCAGGTACACTCCCTATCTAGTTTTAAGATTGGCTATGGAGTTCAATAGCTTGGCGTTACATCTAGCTGAATTGGTGTTTGATTCCACTTTATCCTTATTTATTTGTTTGGTGCCTGCATTTATTGTAGGAGGTGTTTGGATGGAAACCAAACTATGGTTTCAGATGTGATTTTACGATCTACGAGGTAAATATGTAGAGGAGTTTATCTCGATTTGTGGAAAAGTGCTTCTGAGGGTATCCAAACACCCTTGTAATCTTTATATTTCATATCAATATCTGGTTTCCTTGTTTGTTAATGCTTCTGCAATTCCTCTATTTTTTATTTATTTTTGGTCTGTTTTTGTGATGCGATGGCTTCACATTGTCATAGACCTTCACCAAAATTCAAGGGTCTGATATATTCTTCCGACTGCTTAGATTGCTTTGAAGGAGCTGCAAGAGCGGAAGACACCTTTTACTATCCGTTGCTACTTGCCTGATGGAAGGTAGATTCTGGGCATTATAGAAGTTAGGGCTCTCTCTGGTCTGTTTAAGGGGAGGAAGGAGCCTGAAACTTGGCATTTGTGTGAATCTAATGGGTTTTTTTTGTTTTCTTGTGAAATTTTCAGCCATGAGGATTGGGGAGTTGACCAACTCATTGTGGAAGACTCTTGCAAGAAGCAAGTAGGTAGCCTGTATCTAATCAAAATAGACTGAAGTTTTATATTTAGAATTAAAAAAAAACCTTTTAACTAGCTTTTTATATTTAAGATTGGAAGGATTAACAGTTTGACAATTAAGCTTGGCTTTATTAGCATGTGAGTTTATGATTCCTGCTCATGTACTGGAAGTGACTTACCTTTTACTCACTCACCAGGCAAATGCTGCCACTGTCGTGAGGGTTCCTTTCTGTGGACTGTGTTGGTTGTTTTGTGAAATCAGCAGGCAATATTGCCTCTGAAATGGACTTTATCATGAACCCAAAAGTCTACTTAGTCCATGGAAATGTTGCAGCCTTTGAAAGTTGAAAGAAAAGAAAGTGGCCAGAGAAATTGGACCTGTTTTAAACCTTTTTATCAAAATTTTCCCCCCTCTGCTTAACCCTTGCCCTGGTCAAATGCCTCATCATTCATTCAGACGGTAATTAATTATTATATGGTGGAATCATTGCTCTTGAGGAAAAAAAATTAGTGGTTTAGAGGGACGACACTTGTTAATGTCCGCAAATCCTGTGTCGAAGTCAAACTGTAAATTGCTTGAGGCCTGCAACAACCGACACGTGATTGCGAATTATGTGATAAAAGCAAGGCATTTGTTTAATACAAAACTCAGACGTGACTATTAATTATTGTTTTAGGACTCATTTAGAATTACGATTAGGAAAGTCGTGTTTCGTGCAGATTGATCGACCAAGCAAGCTTGTTATATAGAATTTATACACTCCCTTCCCTCCTTAAGATGTTTTGAGTGAACTTGATAACAAAATAATGACACAAATATTGGGATTAAGTACAAATATTGGGATTAAGTATTTTCTACGTTTTTTTAATGAGATGATAATGGTAAAAAAATGATTTTATATTGATAGTTTTAATGAATATAAAAGAAAATGTTTGGCTGAAGAAAAAGAATAGAAAAGAAGAAAAGGCACCGTAAGAAACCAGGCCATCCATGTGATTTGTGAGAAAAGAAAAGAAGATTGTGTTAATGAAGGCGGCCTGACACGATTGACAGCCGACTAGCTTGAACGAAGCAGTTTGATGACATTGAGGCAACAACGTTGAATGTTTGTTTTATTTAAAGAGACCGTTGTTTAATCACTTATATTAATATGGTATTTCTCTTATCTTATTTATCAGTCACTTTCAACACATTTTACATAAATCAAGAAAAACTTTAAATTTTATTGACTCTTATTTAAAATTCAATAATTTTTTAATTTTATTCGTATTTAATATACATTATACCTTATGTAAATAAAATCAACATAATAATAAATGAGAGGTAAAATTATATATCCATACAAAAAATTTCTTTTAATACCCTATAAATAAAATCAAAAAAATACTCTCTCTATGTTCTATAAATAGGACTAGGGGAGTATGATGTTAGAGGCATTGTCAATTGCTAAATATGAAAAAAAAATTTCAATAAAGATTCAAATATTAATTCATTTTATTGAGAGACTTATCTTTTTTAACTAAACTCAATTCCTACTAATTTTTTTTTTTGTGATAAAATATATTGAGAGTAATTTGTGAGTAGAGAAAGATGGGCACCATGTTTGGCTTGTTGCTTCGTGATTCATGAACCAGTGGGTGCTCTTTTGCTTTTGTTGGGGACACCACGCGAATATAAAGCCCGTTTGGTTCAATCTTACCTTGGAAATGATAATTACGAGGGTATTATTAATCCGGTTCGGCTGGGTCTTTTTGGGACATATTTTCCTGTTAAAAATCAATATCGAACGCAACGAGCAGTATGTTTCCGAAGTCAAAAGGCCTGTTGGTTAAGATTTTTGCTTAGTACAAAGTGGGTCCGTTTAGATTCACCATTAAAAATCCTTATAACATATCTCAATAAAATTAAAATAAAATTTTTTCACATATTTATTTTGTATTTTATAAGTCAAAATTAAAAAACTGTTTATAAATTATTTCAAATAACTCAGAAAGCTACTTCCCCATTTTCTTTTATAAGATTTTTAATTAAATTATGTCATTTATAAATAGTTAAAATTAGTTAAACATAATAAATATGTAAAAATTAAACCTTATTTTTTTAAGCACGTCTTTATTTAATAAGAAAATAAATAAATACTAATAATGACATAAACAATAAAAGAGAATAAATTATAAGAAAAAGTGAGGAGAAAGAATAAAAAATTAATCAGAGATAAAGTTAATAAAAATATATTTAATGTTCAACTACCTCCAGAATGATGTTATAAAAAAGGCCAAATAAATTTGCTCCTATGTTATTTTATTTTATTTTATTTTTTCTGACCACAGCATTTGCGTGCGGCAAGAAATCTACCTGTCGCCCGTCGATTTTTCTCCCACCTTTTTCTTAACGCTACCAAATTTTGCTCTCAATTACGTTCATCGCCTCATCATTTTAACTAATTCAGCATTGGAGTTTCCAATAACTTAAATTCCATTTCATTTATTTATTCATTTAATTTTGTGTTTAATTATTTATTTGCTTTCACAAACATACCAAACTTGCTTCTTCTTTTTTTTTTTTTAATGTATAATCATGTATGTAGCAGTTTATTAATATTCTAAGGAATCAAATTAACTATTCTTTTTATTTTTAAGAGGTGAAAAAACTTTTACTTAAGTTATAAAATTGATCCATGTTTGGTTCCTTATCTGGAATTTTAAATGTAAACTAATTTTTCTTCATTTTAATGAATATTTCGGTACCGTGATAACTCATTAGCATGCTAATTGTATTAATTTGACTTTTAGGTGTCTAGTCCAATTAGTTTTTTTTTTCCTATTAAACGAAAGTATCAGTTTGACAAAACTTGTTTCATATCATTGGTACAAAACAAATTCAAGTGGTTACATAACAATTAATTCGTAAATTTAAATATGAATTATCTCATGATTGGTTGGTATTATGTGTGTAACCTTTCTTTATAAGTAAACATGTGATTCTTGATCTGACAGCTGTTTTCAATGGTAAACTTAATTGACAGGTTTCCCTTTTCAATGGCCAATTAGTTTTTCTAATAATCAATAATACGTAATTCATTATTATTAATGACAATTCATCATTTTGAGATTATTGATTAGGCCTTTCTTGAAAAGCAACTAATTATTCAATTTCAATCCCTTCCTCTACAGGGTTTCTTACGGCAGCAGGGAAAGCTGAGATTCAACCCCAATTTTTTAAGGGTTTTTTAGTCTCTGAAGAAAATTATTTTTCTAAATTCTTTTGGCCAACTTAATTAAAAATTTCACGATAGTAGTTTTTTTTCAAAGACTAAATTATAAATTGCATTAAACTAGGGAGGTCCGACCGGGGGATTGCATGCCGTAGTTTTAATTTTAAAAGCTACGTCCAACTTGATAATTATATCTGATCAATCAAATTATTTTTTCACAATTCTTAAATGATATTTTTTAATTTTCCTTAAAATTATGTTAGCAGTAAAATCAGGCTCTAATAAGTCTTAATATTTCATATTTTGTCGGAAAAAAATTAGTAGAAAATAAATTGGAGGACAAATTTCTGCAAATCCATGTTAAGATGTTGAGAGTGCAAAATATAAATCTTTAAAATAAAAAAAATGTTAGATACAATATAATCAAGGTTTGCCATTGTAAATTGATTGGATTGGGAGTATAGGAAATAAAAAAGAGGATATGGAATTTTATTAAGGAAAAAAAGAGAGAGTATGTTAGATACAAATACAATATAATCATATGATTTTATCCTCAAAGTATGTCTTAATCAGAGAGTATTATTCAATATACAAAACTGAAAAAAAGTTTATTCCTTTTTAATTTCATTTTGAGCAAATGTATTTGAGGGTGACATTAATTATTGGAAAGAGGAGGAGGGTGGGGGCAAGATCAATCGGTTCTTATCTTTTAGGAAACCAAATTATAAAGTATGTTGATGCACGTAAATCCTAATCATTATTATCAAGTGTGTTGTTAATGGGCACTAGCAATCTAGCATGACCTAATTCAGTTGCTTTCATCTCCATAATTACTTTTTTTTGGGTTCTACATATAAAATAAAATAACCAAATTACATATATTAAAAAATTAGTTAAAGACAATAAACATATAAGAGATATATTTTCCTTTTCACAAATACCCATGTTTAGGTGAGATGATTAATGCCTTGATATGTAATTAATTAATATGGTTCGAATATTCATTAAGAGTACTTAGGCGTATGAATAAAGAATTATACTACTTTCAGTCTTAAATATAAAGTTTATTTTGTAATTCAATTTACACTAAATTTTATATTTAGGATTTAAGATAATGTCTTGTATAAGTGTGGACTGTTGGGAGTCCTGTTTTGTTTGTTCAAACCTGAAGCCTCTTCTATATTTATACGTTCATAAAGACCCACAATAAGTTTGTCTGGAAATTAGCTTGCAGATCTTGTAAATTTTTCTACCCATTTTCGCGTTTATTTTAGCAAACACAGAAAAAATAAAAGATGAAACATAAGAAATTTCAAATTTAAATATTTGTTTATATAAAAAAAAATGGTTTCCTATCAGTTATTCGGTACCATTTAACCCCTAATTTAAATATAACTTCATAATAAAAATAAGAAAAAAGTATATAAAATATATAAAAAGCTACAATATTCATAAATTATAAATAGTGGGACCCTATATAGTGTACTGGAAAATAGGTTTCATTGAAATAAATAAATAAATTGATTTTTTTTTCATTTTACATGTATAAATGCGTTATGCCGAGACAAAGTTCACTTTTAATTTAAAAGACCCCCTAAACTAGGCTTTATCTGCATATTGAAAATTGCACGGATACGTATAAAATAAAAAAAATAATCGGAAAATAATTGATAACAGGAAATACAGAGTATTTTTATGATAATTCAAATCATATAACATATTTAATCAACATATTCTCTATGATATGTGTTTTTCAATTTTTCAATAATATATTTAGACAGGTCAGTGTCAATTGGCCACCTTGTTACAGGCTCCGGAAACAAAAACATAAACACGCATATTATGTCACCTCATCTTGTGTATATATAGCACCCAATGCCCACCCTCTTATGTGTGAACACTTGCACCAATTAATCTCGTATATTTTATATTCTTTTTATAACATATATCAGCCTTGTATTGGTTAGAACTCTTTGGAAGTAGTTCTCTTCAATGGACCGGTTTTTTAGGTATAAGTATTCTTTTATCAGAAATAATTCTATTCGAGATGCTGCTAAACACTAAATATAAACACATATCTCAAAACTAACTTTTTTGTTAAATCTAACACCTATCAGTATTAAAAGCTATTGTAACAAGCACAGATTCTTAAAAGAGTCATATTCCAAAGGCTAGTGCGTTAGAATTGGAAAGCTTAGCAATGCACAAGTGTTGGAAATTAAGACTGTATATATAGATTCTGCTCTTCACACCTTAAAAGAAATAATAAATTAATGACGAAATTTGTAAATTTCATGGTAAAATAAACATCATTGACACTAAACTAATAATTCACTGTTTTCCAAGGAATTATTATTATCCGTGTTAGGTGATCAATGCTTTATAAGTAGAAAAGGGAGAGAGAATATTAAAAAAATGATTATGGCATTTTAAGAAAAACATGTCATATTTTTTATAATTAACTAATTTATCTAAACTTTTTAATCTAATTAAATTAATTAAATAGGTATTATATTAAGAACCAACGGATTATATTAATATGAAGTATAAAAAGTATTGGGAGTTTTGCAAAAACGTCAATAATAGAACTAATTTTGATCTCCATAGAAATATGGCGACCCAGTTTATTGATGTGCACGAAAAGAATTATGATGAAAGAGAAATCAACAAAGCGACCTTGATCCACACCACACGGTACAACTCACGATGAAAATATGTGATGTGAGCTATCCCCACACACCCACAAGCCCCAATTATCTCATCCCATGCACACTCATGTTTCCTCCTTCTACGTCCCTTTCAATCACAACTACTTATTTTATCTTCTCCATTACTTGCACCTTTATGTATAGAAATATTACAAAAACTTTAAATCTCTCCACCAGGATTTTGTAAAATAATTAATTCATTTTTCAGTGACACCAAAATTAAAACATGCACGCATTTGTGGATTATATTTTATTGTAATGGCAGCTAGCTAGCTAGAAGGCTGGCTATATATCTTTTTTTATTTAAAAATATCAAGAACATTTTACATGAAGAGGTTAAAGAATAATTGGGTCATTAGATGTAATTATTCCCAGAATATATACTCTTTGAAAAATTCCACTTTTTGCCTTATTATTTGGACTCATCGATGGATTGCCTCTTTCTCTCTTTGCTAAAAAAACCAAAACCAGATGTTACCCTCTCTCCTCTGCAACCTTCCTAATAATACCTCCGTATGAAAAATATGGAACCACCCTCTTCACTTTCTTCCTCTTCTGCCTCCCATCTTCTCTATCTCCTCCTCCTCTACCATTAAACCCATATCAGATTTCTGATCTCCCCTTCCATTATTTCTTTCACTTTTCTTCATGGGGGCTGCTGTCTCTTCTGCAAATTCTGATCAAGGTGATGCGGGTTCTTCTTCTTCTTCTTCATCCCCTTCAAGTCCTGGTCTTGGGGATATTCCAGAAAGCTGTATCTCGTCTCTGCTGATGAATTTTGATCCGCCGGATATTTGTAAACTGGCGAGAGTAAATCGAGCTTTTCATCGAGCTTCTTCTGCAGATTTTATCTGGGAATCCAAGTTGCCATCGACGTACAAGTTTCTTGCCCAGAAAGTTCTTTCTCCTCACTGCAACATCGAAACTATGACTAAGAAAGAGATTTATGCCCAGCTATGTCGTCCTAATCTCATCGACGGCGGCACCAAGGTAAGTTATCATTCCTTATTATCTCTGATGATTCTTCGACTCTTGTCAAAGATGATACAGATTTTGAAATTAACGAGTTGATCATATTCTTGGATGATTATATATGTGTAGGAAGTTTGGCTGGATAAATGTAGCGGACAAGTTTGTTTGCTCCTATCATCCAAGTCCATGAAGATAACTGGAATAGATGACAGAAGATACTGGAATTACATACCAACTGATGAATCCAGGTGAGACACAGCATTTTTTACTTGTTTTAATCTTAATTTCTTCATTTTCAGTTTTATTAATTATCTCCTTTTTTGCAAGTTAAAAAAAAACCTGAAGTTGGATTAATTTCTATTGCTCATCGAATAATTAATTTGTTTTATGATAATGTTTCCGTTCCAGTAACCACGTGAATACTATACACTGGTCCAACTCTTTCATGATGTCTGTGTTCCTAGATTTGAACTATCTATATCTCTGACTCTGAAAGTGTTTTATAAACATATATATATATATATAATAAAGATAATATTTTTAAAAACAAATATTATTTCTTCTGGGCATGGGAAAGGAGTTGTTTAATTTTGAAAAAAGCAAATAAATATTGTAAAAAACTACCTCCTTACTTTACGAAAATTCTTACAAGATATGTCTCCTGAAGATCTCTCCTATATAATCTTGTTTAGCATATATGGATGGGCAAGTTTTGAATATTGACTGAGATAAGAAATTTAAGTGTAGTTTATATCTTCAAGTTAAAGGAACTGATATAAAAAACGTTTACATTTCAATTTTTTTAATTTGATTTAGTTATTATTTTTGTGCGCTAACTGTGGGAAAAAATATAACTTTCATAAGAAATATATCAATCAGTTAAAGAATTTAAAATTAAGTTGACATGTCAGGCAAAAGAAGAGACTAGAAGATTTACCCACATAACATGGCCAACTTAATATAGAAAATTATTTAGTTTGTTGATTCATGGAAGTAATCGATGTTTGATTAGTATAAACTACCTATATTCTAAGCTTCCATTGACTGTCACAAAGATAAATACTTTTTTTATGCTAATAATTGTTCCCTGAGATTAGGGCGGAAGCTTGGAAAAAATAACGTTTAATTTGCTGTCTGCCTGATATTTAAGCTACGAAGTTGTCATCATACAAAGTAGATATTTAATTATTTTATCATAAAATGCCCAATAGGCAAAGCCATTTGCTATATAAACTAATATATAAAATGACCCAGGCATTATTCTCAGTTACTAAAAGTTTAATATTTTATAGGTCACGAATAAAGGGAAAGAGTACAAGCACTTTGGTCTTCGAATATTTAGTAATATCCGAAAAGGACTTTTATTTTTTATTTTTTAAGAAAAGCCATCTTAATAATTATGTATTTATCATGTATAAACATGATTATATCCAACTTTTTCAGATAAATTTAAAAAAGTTCTGAATTAGTAGTTGTTTTTTCCTTGCAATAATGCGCGAATCCATATTTGTTTGTATTGGAATTTGAAAAGTAACATGCCTTCTGTCTTAAGGTAATTATATTGTATAATAAACAAATTATAGGACAGAGCATGTGCCTTCATCATTATAAGCATTTTAACTACTTGGTTTTAAGAAACCTAAATGAAGGATTTAATGAATACCAAGCTTGACGTTGAAGATAATTATGTTATACTTTATTCTTTGTTGGAATCCACTCAAGTTGTTTGCAAAAAGCTTGAACTTTTGGAATAAAAAAGCCAAAAGTTATGATGTTTTTAAATGTGTTTAGCTTGTTGTCACCTGTCACCAACTCGACAATGGTCCAAAATGTGGATTTCTTCAAATCCGTTAGTAATGATTCGATGTTGCAAAGATTAATCTTTATATGTTTAATCCAAAACACACATGATCGCTCAGAAGAAGGTGCTGAATTTATTATTATATGACAATGCCTTTAAAAAGGTAACAATATGCTGGGATTCCTCCATAACCATGGCCCCATCCCTCAAGCTTGTCTCTAACTTTAAACCTCACGATTTCTTTTATTTTTCTAAGAAAATATTTGTGTATATTTTCAAAGGGTTAAGGACCACTTTTGTTTTGAAAGTATTCGTGAATTAGTTTTAATTAGGGTATCTAGAAGTTATTTTTACTCTATCATCTTGAAATTGTTAGGAAAAAGAGTAATATCACTTTTATCATTAAAAATATCAACGATCAATGTTAGTTTTTTAATAAATAGAATGACATTGTTCATTTTTCAATACTTTCACGACAAATGTTTGAAAAAAAAAAAATCTAAATACCGTAACTCTTCTGAATATTTCTATAGCAAAAGGTCTCGTTAAAAATGAAAAAGACAATAAAGTGGCAAAGACTAATGTTAAATGCTTTATATAATAATAATATTTAGAATGAAATATATAATGATTTATTTTTTCAAATTGCAGGTTCCAGAGCATTGCATATCTGCGGCAAATGTGGTGGGTAGAAGTGGTAGGAGAAGTAGAGTTGGAATTTCCAATTGGTACGTACAGTGTATTTTTCAGGCTCCAATTGGGTAAGGCCTCAAAGAAATTGGGCCGACGTGTCTGTAATGTGGCCCAAGTTCATGGCTGGGACATCAAGCCCGTCCGATTTCAGCTATCTACATCCGACGGCCAGAAATCCACCACGGAGTGTTTTTTGAATAGCCCCGGCGAATGGGCCCACTATCATGTTGGTGACTTCGAAGTAGAAAGCCCAAACAAGCCCATTAAGATAAAGTTCTCTTTGGCCCAAATCGATTGCACCCACACCAAAGGTGGTCTCTGCGTTGATTGCGCCTTCATATGCCCAAAGTGAGATTAGGTTTTAATTATAAGAAAAAAGTGAGAGTAGGGACCAATTCACGTTGAATTAAGGAGCTTTATAAGAAAAGTTAGGCCTTTCTTTAATTAATCCTGTAAATAATTATAAATCTGCTTGAATATTTGTAGATACAGATCATGTGAATACATAGTAGTCTTTAGTTTAATTTGTATATATCACTCGTGCCATATGCTGGGATGAAATATTTAATGGAGCTTAAAGTCACATTGACAAGTTATTTTTATTAAATTATGCACACAAAAAAACCTATAAATCAAGGTTACTGATTTTTTTTCCCACATTCCAATGGCAAGTTAAATATGTAATTTATGAGGGTAAGTTAATTAACTGAATTACTACTGATCGCATTATCTGAAGGTGCAAAAAAATTATTTGAATAAATGATAAAAGCCCTAATTCGATTTCACATAAGAGATCTCATTACTAATCCTAATTATATTTATATTAAACAGCTCATTTGTTTTATCCAGTAATTCATGTTTTCATCTAAATTTCATAAAATTCATTCAGTTTTGGTATTTTATGCAATTTTTTAAGATGATGCCTAAAATGATATAGAAAGCAAACTATTAATATATTGCCTCCGGTCCTTAATATAAGATTTTGTTTGAATTTTATTTTAGTCATAAATATAAAACCCCAATCCACTTTGTGTCTCAAATTTATGTATTTTTCCTCCAAAAAGTCTTTCTAACAATAGTAGTTCTAACCAATACACTTGATTAATAAAGATATTACAGGAAAGATAACATCTATTTATTACAAATAACTAACTTAATCTTTTTTCTTTAATCTCCTCAAATTAGTCAACTAGCTCTTATGATTAAGATCAGAAGTAGTATCACATTTTTTAATATCCTACAAGGGGTTCTTCTTTCAGGAGAATACAACGGTGAAATTGATGAGGCCAAGTGGTTCTAAGTATCCAATTAGCTTCTGCCGCGTGTGTACTATTTAGCCACACCAGCCAAAAGAGATACTCAAATGGGATGAAAGAGTGGAGGTATAATATTACCTGCCGTGCTAATTAGGATTAGTAATATCAATTTTGATTAAAGCATCATCACTGTCACGGAAACGCGATCGAAAAAGCTGTTTTTGTTTTAAAAGATATAAATAAAATCGCCGGGAATATTTCACCCAAGCGTCTCAACTTCCTCGAGCGGGACCTCCAACTCAAAACAGAACCACAACCCCTACCTATACCGACAATAACACCTCCCTTCTCCCTCCACTTTCCTCTGCCTCGTACCCTCACTTCTCTCTTTCTCTTTCAAATCTCACGTATTTTCTGGGTTCCTCTATATCCCTTCTCGTCTTGCTGCTCAAAGGTGCTCGCGTTCTCTGCTTTTCGTTTTCAACTTTCACGTGTTTTCTTTTTCTCCTGTTTATGTTCTCTCTGTCTAAAGTTCAAATTTTTAGCGCCATTTCCCTTTTTTTTTTTCCCCTCCTTTGATGCCTTCTTGGATTCCTGTCAAACCTAAATGATGATCTTTTCGACGTTGTTTATAGCCAAATTTTAATCTACTCAATTTTGTAATTTTGAAATGTTTGTTTTGATGTTATCTGTTAGTTATGCTTTTGGGCTGCCAAAGTTGTTCTTTCAATTTTTTGATCGATTTGTTAGCTTTTAAGTTGTAAGATGATCTATTTCTTATAGATATTACAATCACATCTCTTTAGTGTTCTATTTCGATATCTTCCTGGATGTAAATCTACATTATTTGGCATTTTTTCGCTCAATCATGGTGATCACCGTGGTTTAGAGGACCTGTGTTTTGTATTTGATATTGACTTGTATCACTCTGACAATTAACTTCCACCTTCATCTTAGATTTTGATACTTGAGAATATGTCTGAAGCGGAAAACAACGGGGATTTTATTCGTTGGCTGGGACCTGATCTTTCAATAAAGATTCTTTCCCATTTGGATGACCCTTGTGACCTTGCTCGTGTTTCTGCAGTTTCACGTGCCTGGCACCATTTTGGTGAGCCCTTGAAGTTGAATTAATCTCCTCTGTGTGATGTTTTGGTTTAAACTAGAGATATTTTCATATGCTTGTATGCTCATTGTTCTTGGAAAACTTTCTCCTCTTGTGAACTTTTGGTTCTATTTAGACATGCCTTGGACTCAAACTTGAGATTTCTTTAGTTTTCAGTTGCTATTCATTAGTATTGAGTATTATTTTATTAACATGTGCACTTGATATTCTGCAGTTGTTGAAAATGGCCTTAGCAAGCAACTTTGCTTGAAACTGTTTCCTGAGTTATCTTTTGCTGCTAATGTTATCGAGGCAGACAACATGATTGAACCAACAAGATTTGTTCCTGGGAACCCTATGACTTGGGATTGCCTCAAGAGAAATCATAACGTTTATGCATTCTTGGCACGTGGTCTTGCACCGTATGTGAGGCAAAATTGCATTTCAGAAGCTGTTGTTGCATCCAGCACTGATAATTACCCTGAAGAAAGTATTCAGAATACAATGGAACCAAGGGATAGAACTGAAATTAGGGCATCATATTGGTCAAGTAAAGGGGAAAGTGATCCTTCTGTTCCTGAAACATTAATTTACAAGCTGATTTCCAAAATATGTATTGTTACTGAGATCTATATCCAGCCATTCCAAGGTTAGCCTACAGGATCGATGAAATTCATATTATTAATTTATGCAGGAAATATATTTAGTCGGCTGACTTAGAATTCATCTTCACATGTCAGCGTATTTTCAGCATGGCAATCCTATATATTCAGCTAAGTCTGTTCGATTTAGAATGGGCTATCTAAAGCAACCAAAGGAATTAAAGAGTAATCGGAAGGCTAAACGAATTTTACAGGGCAAAGACTTTGTATGGACATACACTTCGCCTGAATTTCCAATGGCTCAGGTGTGTTACATTGAGCAAGTGTGGTATCTTCTTTATTCTAAAGTTTCTATTATCTTTTGCCCTTATGATATGAAATTTCATAGAAAAATTCCTAATAAGTATCATCCACATCATTCTGTATTGCTCATCACGGTTTAATTTTAATCGTGTATCCATCTTTTTCGCTCTTCTAAACAAATGCAATAGTAGCAGGAGTTTTATTAAGTGGCTTTTCTGAGTGCTTGAGCATCACCCATTTGAGTCTCTGTTTTCTCTTTCATGGAGTAGTAACTTGATGGTATCTGAATATTCAGCAAGCATGGATTGTGAATTGGAATACCTTAACCACTTAGTGAATGTTACAGGAAAACCGCTTGCAAATATTCAAGCTACCTGAACCTGTCTTCTGCGTTGGAGGTGTGCTGCTAGTTGAGCTGTTGGGCAGGGTTCAGAAACAACAAATGGATCAACTATATTACATATGGTATGTTTCTCATATTCTCTCTCTATCATGTATCATCTTATCACATTATAAATTGAAGCCTGTGGTTGTCCTCATTCTTGTTAAACCCCTATTGGAACAAAGAATAGATAGACTACTAAGAGTTCTGATGATATCTGTTTAAACTTTAAACTACACAAGAACTCCCCACTAGTTTTCAGGTGTTAGTTGAGGTGTTTGAATCTCTAATTTTTCTGACTGGAAGGTGTCATTTGATGTGTGTGTGGTGCAGTATTTCTCATGTTGGTGTTGTGGGACGGCCACTTTCTTCAGGATTTAGTGCAAAAATGCACCACTCAGGAAGGTGCTTCTTGAAGCACAGCCCTAGAAAAGACTCTTATTTTGTAACTCCGGTACCTTATAGGTCTGGAGAACCGCCTATGTGGCTGCCAACTGAAAACTCACCTTCTCGTCTGCGAACTTTGACTTACAACATGATGCAGAGGGCTGGGAGACGACTCTGGGGCTGGCCATGATTATGGTTCTTCTTCATAGTGTACACTGTACACATTCCTTTGAGCCTCACCAATGATGGGCATTGATTAAGCTTCAATTTTTTCGCTAAATTTTTTGTTTTTAAAATTTTTAGATTGCTTAAAAGGGCATGTAAATAAAAGAGTAAGAGAACTATGCAAATTTTTAGTGATTAATGATCTTCTCAAGCCATTCCCTCATGTTTCCTCTCCTTTTTCGTGTAGCCAAGGAAACATAAAACATGAAAGTTTGTATCAGCTCGAGTACACACACATAGCACGACATTGTTTCCTTCATGTGAGAAAAAGGGGAAGAAATGTAATTATATTGGCCAAAGAATAATTAGCTTCCAACTCAGCAAGTACCAATACTCTGCTACCTTATGGCTGGGGCAAAATTGTCAAAATGAATTTCGCGAAATTAAAGGTTACAGCTCTTGGTAGAACATAAATATAAAAACTTTTTATTAAAAATTTAGTTTGCCTGTCGCTGGACCCTCCCGAGACTGAGAGGCTGACACACATAAAGCGTAATGGTCCGTGTATGATGTATCTGTTCAGGTCAGAAAAACAAATGTATGATGCATCCATCGAATACTTTTTATAACAAATATTTGTATTTATAATATTTACTATTCCTTCACTTTAAAAAATATAAGCATCAAATAACTAAATTATACAACTAAAAAAATGGCTAAATTAGTTAATAATTAAAATATTTTATTTTTTTAAAATATCCATATTTATAAAGAGAGGCTAATTGGTATAAAGGATGGGTAAAAAAAACAGATAAGAAAAAATAAGTGAAAAAAATAAAAGCAACATATAATTAATTAGAAATAAAAATAAAAAATATATTAAATGATCAGACTAAACTAAAGAAAGATTGAATAACAAAAGTAAGAGGATGCATGTTGAAACTCTTAATAGGCAGGCACTGAGTGAAGGAACGATCAAAATCAACATTGATGGTTCTTTCAAAGAGAAGTGTGGGGAGGCTGGCACAGGAGTGGTGTGTCGTGATGGAAGTGGTCGTTTTGTTTGGGGGGGGGGATTTGGAAAGAAAGTTGAGGCTGATTCTGTTTTTATGGTTGAATGCATGGCGCTGAGAGAGGTCTTATTATGCAAAAAGAAATTCTCTGGACAGTGAGGTCCTTTTCAAGATGACTTCGAAGAATTCGAGTGCTGGGTGTGAATGGAAGTGTCCTAAGCTGCTGAA